CGATCGAGCGGGCGCCCATTGTGGAATGCACATTGGCACGGGCGGTCCGCTGGTCATTCTTCGCGGGAGCCCAGAGCTGCCCAGCCCCCCGCATGCTAGAGCAGATCAGCTCCTATTTCGAGCCGCTCCAGGTGACTCGCTCGGCGGCGCATGGGCTCAAAAGCGGCGCGAGGTTCGCCCCGCGCCTCGCGGCCGTCGCGCGTCGTCGTCTTGCGCGAGAATCACAGAACTCTCAAAGAACGGGGTTGGACCGATGGCCATTCACACCGGGTAGCAGGGCCGAGGAATCTTTCTCGGGCAATTTTGACTCGCGGCGCGTTCTCTACGGCGTCGGAGCTCAGGCGGCCCCGCCTCGGCGTCGCGGGGAAGAGCAGCACCGCGTGCTCGCGCCGCGTTGACGCAGTGGCTGTCGCGCGCGCCCGGCGGCGCAAGGGGGCGCCCCGGCGCGCGGCGACGCGGTCTGCATACTTCGGCGTGGACTTGGGCGGTGGGAGTCGGCGTGGGCGGGCCACGGGTAGACGGCGAGGTCTCTCACGTCGCGCAGGCCGCACGCTTGGCCGAGGCGCTTCGCTCCGGCCGCCCGCCAGAGGGCGGGGCCGCGGGCCGCAGCAGCACGCGGACATCATGTGCGTGGCCAGCTTGGCTTTGCGAGCGGCGCGGCGGCTGGGAGTTGCGGCCAGCTCGTCCAAACGAGGCAGGTGCCCCGCCACCCTGTAGTCTCGCCGACTTCCTGGGCGTGATCCAGGTCTTCTTCTTCATCGTCAATGCGTTCCCCAATCGCTTGTACCATGGTTGCCCGAAGCTCACTCGGTACGATTGAATGCGGGAGCTCGGCCAGCAGCTGCGGCGCATCGTCGGAGCTTCCCAGACGGGCAGCGAGCACGCCGCGTTCACGGACCTACATGATTCTGTATCATTGTGCTGGAGATTGGGTGGTCTGATCATCACCCACAGATTGGGGCGCACCAAATGGCAGCACCGCGAAAATTCACACCTGACAGTTTCGAGGCAGTGATTTCCAGGCTCCAGATCTGGCTGCTCTCCCTTGGACGAGCTTCAGAGAACACGCGAGATAAAGCAGTGGAAATAAACATCCAAATTGTTCTGCAGCGCGGGATTTGAGTGTAGCGTTGACATGCAGCCACCATGAGGAATGGTGTCAGACTTGCTGCGTGCCCGCAAAGGCCGCCGGTTCTCGGAACTGCTTGCGTCGTTGGCAACACGCGGGTGTTGAACCAAACGGAGCGGGCAGCAGGCGCGATTTCGAGACAATGATTGATGCGATCGACGTGGACGGGGGAAAGATACTGATTTTCATCGGTGCTGGGCGTGTTTGAAACACAAGCGCACGTGCTTATGTTGAGTCTAGCGACCTCCTTCCCGAAGCCACCGCTGAGTCACAAGCGTCTCTTTGTTTGTGGATGCGTCGTTTCATTTCCACTCCACGGACGGGCTCAAGTCCCTCCCGCGCCTTCGGTCAACCAGATCTCTGGGTGCCATTTGGTCTGGGTGTGCTGGGGCGGGCTTCTCCCAAGAGCCTCGCATGGTTCGGGGGGGCGCCTCTGGAGCCCACGGTGCCCACGACAATCGCTTGCGCCATCGAAGTCTCGTCTTGGCAACGTTGGTTAGTGTCGCGCCCCTCGTCCTCGGGGCTCACCTATGGGCCCCCTCACTGGACCCATCCAGGGCGTTCCTTGGGGGGAGCTGCGGGCGCTCCAGTGGTTGCTGCGTTTCTCTCTTGGCGTTCCAGTATATGCCAATGCCTGTGCAGAGGGCGCTCGAGGGTGGCATCCCCAGCTTGTTCGCAGACCTGAGGTACCCCGGGCCGGTATCTGGCGTGAGACCAGCCGACCTTTGGTGGAGCAAGGCCGGCACCCATCGAGGATACCCACCATGCAAGTGTCCTCACATTTGTCGGGGGCGAAATGTGTTCACCGGGGGAGGAGGAGGGGGAGGAGGAGGAAGGGGAGGAGGAGGAGGAGGAGGAAGGAGGAGGAGGAGGAGGAGGAGAGAGAGGAGGAGGAGGGAGGGAGGAGGAGGAGGAGGGGGAGGTGGAGGTGGAGGAGGGGGAGGTGGAGGTGGAGGTGGAGGAAGGAGGAGGAGGAGGAACAGAAGGGAGGAGGAGGAGGAGGAGGAGGAGGAGGAGGAGGGAGGAGGAGGAGGAGGAAGATTCCGAGCTGGCTTGTTCTTCAAGTTAATGCCTGCGTTGACGCCCTTGCTGGAGAGCCCTGCCGCACGCGCGTGCAAGAGGCTCGCTCTGCGGCTAAGGGGGCGTTGTCTGGATGATTTGAAGTGGATGTTTCCGACTCTTGCACGTGAGCGGCCGTGCTTCCCGAGCTCGGGGAGGATATCGTGTACACTTGGCTGATGGTTAGAGCCATCCTTCATCCGCCCTGCACTACCATCAAGATCGTGAACTTTCTGGTCTTGCAGCACGTGCGGTGTCTCTGGCCAGGCCGAGCTCATGGGCTGGGGCGACCGTGCAGGCTTCCACTGTCAAAGGCCAGGCCGTATGCCCTGACAGGACTCATGGCGGCCGGTTCCCGACGCGCTGAGCTCTAAGTTTGGCTGTCGCACGTGATGGCGGAAGTCCTGGAAGCCCCTTCCCTCCCTCCCCCTTTCCTCCTTCCTCCCTCCTGTCGGTCCCGGGAGCCGAGGGCGTTCGGTAGCGGGGAGGGCAAGGCACCCAGATATCCGACGATATGACGCGTTCAATCCATGTGTGTGTGATCGCCAGCGCGGACCCTAAATACGGATGCATTGCAAACTACGCGGTGCAATTGGGTGGTACAATTAATGTGGTGCAGTCTCGTTGGTGCAATCCATGTAGTCCATTGATGTGGCGCAAAGAAATGCATCGCCGTGTAAAGAAATGCAGCGCAATGCAAACCAATGCAAAGCAAGGAACAGCAACGCAAAGCAATGCAACACAGTGGAAAGCAATGCAGAACAAGGAGGAGCAATGCAGAGAAACGAGGAACAATGCAAAACAATGCGAAGCAACGCAAAGCAATGGAACACAATGCAGAACAATGATGCGCAATGCAAAGCAGCGCAAGGCAATGCAACACAATGTTAACCAATGGAAAGCACTGCAAAGCACACATGCGATGCAGTGCAAGTGCAACGCAGTGCGATTGCAGAGCGACGTAGCGCACAGAAACGCAAAGCACTGCATCGGCGCGATGCAGCGCGATTGGAACGCAGCGCAACGCGACTGCGGTGCAGTGCGACTGCGATGCTACGAGGGGTGGTGCAACGGGGCGGCGGCGACGGACGGGAACGGAACCGCCAGGCCCGCAGACGGGAGAAACGGTGCAGCGACGCGCGAGATGGGGCCGCCGGGGCCGCAGGCGGGCCCGGGTCCTCAGATGGCAGGCAAGAGCCCCTAAGTACAAGCACTCCTTGTGGAATACCTCCTCCTCCTCCTCCTCCTACTCCTCTCCACCTCCCGTCCTCCTCCTCCTCCTCCTCCTCCTCCTCCTCCTCCTCCTCCTCCCTCCTCCTCCTCCTCCTCCTCCTCCTCCTCCTCCTCCTCCTCCCCCTCCCCCTCCCCATTCAGCACTTAAACAAGCCAGGGCAGGGATGTTCATAGCGAAGCATACGGCATGAAGGCCATCTTCTTCGAAGACCGCGCCACTTGGGGCCCGGCCCCCCTTCCACCTCCGCGATCGGCTCAGAGGGGGATGTGTTTTACTCCCAGGCGCCTCTTGATCACCGATAGGGGCCCGATAGCCCACCCGGTCCAGGAGCTGGCGATTTCGCTCGCGAGGGCCTGTGGCCGATCTGTCGGCGGTGTATCGACGATTCCAGCTCAGTGCTGCCACCCCTGAGCCGGCCTCTGGTCGCTCCCCCATCGAGGAAAGGAGTATCGATGCCGCCGCTCGTCCGGGAATGACCACCGTGACAACGCCCTGATTCTCCTTTCGAGATTTTGGTCAGAATGCGCCCCAGCGGAGGTCCAGGGAGTGCAGTGGAGACTTATGCCAAGCAACACCCTGCGTGCCTCCAGGGTGCCTTGGGTTTCTTGGGTTCCGATGGCGTTGCTGTGGAAGGCGTGACGCTCCCTTCCCCAAAATCAATGGACGTCCTGGGGTCTCAAGGTTGGGTTTCCTGTGGCAGGTTTCTTGTGGACTGGCCCCCACTGTGGCGGTATCGATATCTTTGAGTGTCCCCAGGCGCCGCGTGGGGCGCCGCCCGCGCGCGCCTGGCGTCGGAGAAGGAAGGCCAGCACGAAGCACGAACTTTCGGAGACTTGCGCGGCTTGTTTTGATCGGCGTTGGGCCCCCAGGGCGGCGCCGCCCCCGGCGCGCTCCGCGCGCTCCGCGCGCCAGGGGTGGGGGCTCGTAGACAAGAGTCGTCCGCCGAAGAGCGACCGCTGTCGATTTCGGCTTGAGACACCGTGTGCTACTGTTAAGTCGGGCGTGTCCCTCTACAGGGGGAATATTCAAAAATAGTCGAAAAATAGCCTGGGGGAATTTTTTTGACCATTTTTGAGCATTTGGGGGGTATTTTTTGGAGTATTTGTTTTTTTTTGTCACATCTCCCCGTAGGGGGACACGCCCGACTTAATGCTACTGGCCACCGTAATCACCCATGCTTTCCCGTACCCGTTTGCCTCGGGCGTGTATTTCCCTCCGCCACGGATGCCACAGGGATCCGCGCCGATCCCAGCGACGACGCGAGAAGCCCGCGCGGACCACTGAAAGTTCACGTGTTTGTGCCCGCGTCTCTTCTTCCAGCTGCGGGCGGCGAGGCCGAGGCGCCCGGCGCTGCCAGAAGCGTCCCTGGCCCGAGGTGCCCCCAGTATTCCCAGGCAGGCCCTGTGCGGCCTCCAGGGCACCTTTTTCTGAGGCCCGCTCGGGGCCCCCCGGGACCGAAGGCTGAGAAAGACCTCCCGTCCTGTTTTGTTCAGAGCGTTCCATGTCCGGGTCCAGCGGCCCCCGGAGGCGGCGCTGGCCGCGGCCGAGGCGCTGGCGGGCGCGCTCGCGAGCGCGGAGGCGTCGCGGGCCGGGGAGCAGCGGGGGTGCCTGGAGTTCCGCGGCGGGTGGAGGCGCCCCCGGGGAAGGGCGGCGCACGCCCAGCGATGGGGCGCGAGGGAGTGGGGGGGCGAGGAGCGGGGGAGGCAGCGGGGGCCCCTGAAGGGGCCCTGTCGGGCCCCAGAGGGGGCCCCATGGGGCCCCGAAAGGGGCACCTTTCTCCCACCCCCATCCCAGGAAACACCCTGCTCGCCTCCAGGGTGCCCCTGGTTTCTTGGGCTTCGATGATCCTGCTGTGGGAAGCATGGCGCTCCCGCACGAAAACCCAGTGGACCTCCCGGGGTCTCAGGGATGGGTTCCGCGTGGGAGGTTTCTTGTGGTCGAGCCCCCACTGTATTGCCCTCCTATGGATTCGCGCCCAAGGCCGGGTTTTCGGGCCGGGGGCAGCCGAGCAGGTCCTCGGAAGGAGAGGCCCGGGGTCACCCGCGGGGGCGCGCAGGCGACGGCGCTGCGCGCCCCGCGGCCCGGCGCGGAGCGGTGCGAGGGCGCGAGGGCGCGAAGAGCGAATCGTGCGTCGCGCATCGCGGGGCGCGAGGCGCGAAGTGACGTGTCGGTAATCATCGTTTCGCCAGTCCCCATCCCCATCCCTTTCGAGACCCCCACCAAGTTGCCACCCCAGCTGGAGGTGCACCCCTCGAAGCCCGAAGGGAGCGGCCTATAGCCCCGCCCAGGGGGGAAAGGCGGCCAGCGGGGCCCAGGCCACGCCGCTGGGGATGGGGATCGGTTCGATGCTCCACGTAACCCAGAGAGGCCGGCCCTGGGGAAGGGGTCGAGAGGTTTGGGGGGCCCACGCGTCGAGAGAATCGAGGCGCCGGATGTCTGGGTGCACGCTTGCACCAGTCTTGGCCAGGTCGATCGCCGTTGTGGCATCGGCGTGTACAGCGGGTTCGCGCCGCGTCGACGTAGCGGCGACCCAAGCGCGAGCGTTCGAGGTTGAAGGCCCCCAGTGGCCCCGAATCGACCAACATCGAGCGACATGCGCTATCGGGAAGCCGCGACCGCTGCAAGCGGAGAGATCCACGCGGTGCCAGGAGCCAAGGCCGAGGCCGTCACGACGTGAGCCTGCCGTGCGCGGATCTTAGGGCCAGGAGGGCTTGGCCAGGATCGGCGCCCGCGCCCAGTTGCAGGGTCCGTGTCCGCTTCGATCCGATCGATGGCTTCGACGTCGATCCCCCCCCAGCCCGATCTGGCTCGATTCCGACACTCCGACGGTCCGACGCGGTGGCGTTGTTGTGCGCTTTGCCGCGGCCGGCCCAGGTATCGATCTGGGCTCCGTGCCGATGCGGGGCGGTCTGATGGCCGTTCCGATCCGATGTATCGACTCGATGCTGACCGCTGCTCGCAATTCCGACGATTGATCATCTGTCTTCTACTGGTGTTGATTCTAGATCTCAGCCCTCTGGGGGCGCCTTCGCGCCCTGGGACCATCCAGCATTGATCCGGGCGCAAAAAAAACGATCCCCGTGAGAGCGACCGGGACATCTGGGGCCCCGAATTGCGAAAGTCAGCACGGCGGATGCTAGGGTCTCTGGATCCTCCTGGAGAGCAGTCCAGCCGCCTCCAGCAGCGCCACGGGAGCGCTCCGCGCCAGGCCTTGGGCTGTTGAAGACTTCCTTGGAGTGGCTGTCTGTGCGCAGCCCGAAGCCCGCATCGGGGGCAGAAAGCCGCTCCCGACGCTGGCGTCGCCGCCGTCGCCGATGCATCTGCGACGTGGCCCGATCCTCCCGCCCCATCTGCTCGGACCCCTTACGGGAGGCCTCGAAAGTCAGGGACAACGATAGGGGGGATAGGCATAGGGGGGGATGCATCGACCCCCAATCGCCCATTGATCGCCGACAGGGGCCCGATAGCCCCAAGTTGCCCAGGAAGGTGTGGATTCGCCATCGGAGGCCTATCGCCGATCGATCGGCGATGTATCGCCGATTCCAGGTCGATGCATCCCCCCCTGTGCCAGTCCCCCCCTGTCGTTGCCCCTCAAACAACCGCTCTCGACGCGGGCGCCCCCCCCGAGGCCCAGCGCCGAGGCCCACCTCCCACAGCGCCCCCTGCGCGCGCTGCCGGGCGCGGCGCTGCGCGTGCGGGGGCTGCTGCGCCTCGACGTCGCCGACCAGCCGTTGGCGGTGCTGCCCGCGCAGGGCCCCGCTGCCGCCGCTGGCTGCCCTCGCAGACGTCGCCGCCGTCCCCGAGACCTCCAACGTAACGTCAGGATGTATTTAGTTTTGAATCACGCTCCTGTCTCTCTCGGCGGGGAACAAGCTCGCCCCTCCTGCTGCTCCTCCTCCTCCTCCTCCTGTTCCTGTTTCTCCTCCTCCTCCTCCTCCTCCTCTCCTCCTCCTCCTCCTCCTCCTCCTCCTCCTCCTCCTCCTCCTCCTCCTCCTCCTACTCCTCCTCCTCCTCGTCCACCTCTTCCTCCTCCTCCTCCTCCTCCTCCTCCTCCTCCTCCTCCGCCTCCTGGATGTCACAGTTCTCCGTGGAAAATCACGACGGGCTTTTTCGTTATGGCTTGGCCGGGCTCCTGCAGCCCTGGGATGCCTAGGCGGCCGCCAGAGGCCCGAGTTCTGGACCGACAACTGAGCCCCTCCCACCGTGAGGAAATACAGTCAACGCGCATAGTGAGGGCGCGTCTTCTTGGGTGCCCTTCTGTCCCTGCCTCTGCGGCAACTTGCGGGTTAGGGTGCCCTTGCGTCCCTGGGGCTTTGGTCGCCCGCCGCCCAACACATCCCAGCGTCGGCCTCCAAGGGTGTTGCGTCCTTACTGCCCGTCCTTCTCATACGTGTTTACTGTGCGTCACCGTTTTCGGCCTTGAGAGGGCCCCGGCCGAACCGGGGACCGTCAATCCAGTCTCTGAGAAGTGGGTCGAGACCCCCTGGGGTCCCTGACCCTGCACCTTCCGCACCCTCCGACCAGCAGGTGGCTAGTTTAGTGAACTCCCCAAGGGGCAAAAAAGCTGCACCAACACAACCTCTCGGAGTTTCGCGGGAATTTCTTGGATCGGCGCCTGACCCCCTTTTCGGCGCCTGCGGCGCCGCCCCTGGCGCGCCAGCGCAGTACCAAGAAATCCGCGCGGAGCTCCGAAAGTTGATGTGTGTGCTATTCTTATCCTTCGGCAAGATTTTGAATCAGCCACCTGCTGGCTGGAAGGTGTGGAAGGTGGAGAGTCCAGGTTGCCGTCGTGAGAGAATGACGGCGGCAAGTTTTTGACAGTCTTCGTCCTCCAGGGCAGCCCGACAAGGCCCCAGGACCCGTCAAAAAGTAGCTCGGGATGGGATGCCGGTCCCCTGGAATGGGGTCCTGACCTCGTGCGGGGAGCCATCGCCGTCGTCGCCGCCGCCGTTGCCGACGCCGCCGCCGTCGCTTTCGTCCGCGCCACCGCCTTTGTGGCCGCCGCCCCCGCCGTCGTCGTCCCTCTCCCTCTCCTGGACTGTACAGGGAGTCTTCGGAGTTTCCTCGGGGGGGCACCCAGAGGCTCCCACGCGTCTTCGGAAGCTAGAGGGAGTTGTCGGAGCTTTTCGGAGGGTTTTTTTGTGGTTCTTTGAGGTTCCTGAAGGTTGCCAGCAGTCGTTGTTGTAGTCGGTCGTCGTCGTCCTCGTCGTGTTCCTCGTCCGCCTCGGCCTCTTGAAGATCCGCCGCCGCGGCGAGTCCATCGGGCCACAGAGCCCAGTATGGCGTCCATGCGCCCGTGGGGCTCACCGAGGGCTCCCAACATGGGGGGCCCCAGCGCTGTGTCCACGGTGGCCCGCATGGCCCCGCGCGGCTCACCTCCCTTCTCTGGCTGGGGTGCTCCATGTGGCCCCCAAGGGCTCTTGCGCCGGGTCCGCAATACAGGCCCCCATGCCTCCGCAGGGATCCCCTCTATTCATCCCTCTTCCCCATCCTGTCCATCGGCCTTAGAAGCGAGCGACTCGAAATTGGATGAGGAGTTGGAGGAGGTGGGATTGATTCAGAACTATAGCAAACGTGAAACGGTACCGAGCCTCAGAAGCCATCGAGCGAACAAGTTTTTTCTCGCAAGAGTTCGCAGGTGGCAAAGCTCTACCTCGCGCCAGGTATCTTGGCAGCCGCTACGCCTGGAATTCGTCAAGCATGGAGGAGTTCAGGTACCGCTGCGCTGCGGTCCACGCTGGGTGGGGAAAGATGGGGAAACTTTGGACGAGCAGGATTTCCAGGAGTCTCAAGACTATTGCCTTTAGCGGCCACGTGGTGGAAGCGGCCTTATCTGCAAATGAGCCGTACGTTTTTTCGACTTCTCAGACACAACAACTGGATACACTGATCTATAAATGTCTTCGGGTCCTGGAGAGGGGGAGGGCCACGGAATGGGAAGGCGAACACCCACACACCCTCCCCAGTTCAGTGCTTCGCCGAAAGTGGCGACTGATGCCGATCCGCCTCGAGCAGGCGGCCAGGAGAGTATGCTGGGTGCAGCAGATGGCCAAGGACGCTGTCGCGCACCGCCAGGTGATTGCAGCGATATGGGGTGCACTACAGAACGGGCCAGAGAGCTTGGACGCAGATGGCAAGCTCACGAAGTCCGCACCGCCGATCGCCGTGCAGATTGAGAAAGACGTCTGGACCTTCGCCCACATCAGTGGATCGGAGGACTTCTTCGAAGCCTGGGAGAGGTGGGGATATTCTTGGAAGGTTTTTTTCTCGAAGGAGGAGGTTAGAGAGTACTTTCTGAAGTTAGATACTAAAATATTACGAGCAGCGGTATTACATGATGGGGAGCAGCTTCTTCTTTGGTTTGTTTTTCTCTCTCTCTCTCTCTCTCTCTCTCTTTCGGCTTAGAGGGCCCGCTCAGGCTCTTAGGAAAGATGGTGGGCCCCAAGAGGAACCTGGTAGACACGTCTGCACGATATAGGACGAACACGGTAACATATGCTCACACTTATTCGGCACCCGCAGCGCCTTTTTTGCACATCCGTCAAGATCGAGAGGAGGAGAACACGAAAGGCAAAACCCGTTTTTTTTTTCGTCGGTGATTTCCAACGTTTGTCCCTGGTGCCGCAGTTGTTTTTCGACCAGGGATAGCGCTCGGCAACAGGTCCGCGCGGCCTGGCTAAACAGTCGATGTCGACTCCATCGTACGGCCTTCGCTTGATCCCCGATCACCCCGAAATCGTGCGCATGCCCCCGTGTCGAGAGGAGCACGGCACGTTTGATGATTTCCTGGACCATGCAGCGGAGCAACATTTACCCCCTCCACCCGTCGCCAGTCTGCCCAGAGCACCGAGAGTCCGATTGACGGCTGCAGACCGCCCCGCAGTTGCCAGAGGTGGGCGCCATGTCCCTGGTGCTCAGCGGCGAGGTGGCGCCGAAGGAGAACGAACGGTCTCAGCGCCGCCGCACCACCGACGGCGAGCAGCCGAAGGTGGCCAAGGCTGAAGCCGGCTACAACCCCGCCAACAAACGCTGATGGTGTTCATCATGAAGATGGTCAAGCAGCTGGCGCAGTCGCGCCGCACAGTGGAAGGGATACTCTTCGACGTCATCATCGTGCCGCACGACATGCCAGAGGTAACGCGCATGCAAGAACAAGGAGCCAAGCACAACGAGCTGGTGCAGTCCAAGGGCAAGGGCCACAATCTAGGCGCGCCGCATCTGTATGTGTTCGGGGGGCTGCCCGAGGCGCTGATCAACCGTCAGGAGGGCATCGGCAAGGCGAACCTGCAGCGACTTCAGGAGCTGAAGCAGCGCCTCGGCCCGATGGAGTACGCGGATCGCATGGACCGAGTCAAGTTCACCAAGTTGGACAGGTGCTACGACCAGCAGAAGAGGCGCATCACACTTTGCCTGGGCGGCGGCCGCAAGGAGGTGATTGGAGCGCTGGCACAGCTCGGGGGAGAGCTCAAGTCGGGGAGGGCGCCTGCGACGCACATGGAGAGAGATGCAGGAGTGGCTCGAAGCGTTCCTGGCGTAGATACGAGTACGGATCAGATTTCATCGCTGCCCAAAGAGAGGGAGAGACTGACGCGTTCCCATCCTGAATATATGGGCGATTCAACTAAGTCAGTCTTGACCGCTACTCCGAGAGGACCGCACACCAATTCGCATTTGTTCATTCACAACATGCAGTTTTTTCCAGAAAATCAGCGAACAAGGAGCGAGGCACTGGCCGAGCCCAACAAACCGCTGAGTGATTGGAAGGGGAGGATGAAGGCATCGTCTTCATCCCGATCTATACCACCACCATCGCCATCATGCTCCTCCAGGCCCCCGTGGATCCAGAGGCCCTTGAGGAGAATTTCGCAGCCTCCGATGATTGCGCCCAGGAGTCCTCAGATGTTATCTTCTGCGTCCCAGAGGCCCTTGAGGAGTATTTCGCCGAGTGTGCCGATTGCCCCCAGGAGTCCACAGATGTTATCGTCGGGATCCCAGAGGCCCTTGAGGAGCATTTCCACGCCCCCGACGATTGCCCCCACGAGTTCCAGTAGTTACCTAGGCCCGATGGACGTAGGAGCGGAAATGCGAACGATGGTGGATAGGTATATCCAGAGGCACGGAGGAGAGGCGGTCATAGGACTGCCCCCTTCTCAGAAGCGAGCGGTAGAGAATTTTCTGACGGCCCAGGGAATTCCCAGGGACTCGGCTAGATGGGAGACCCTTTTTCGTAGTAGGCATGTGCAGGCTATGGTTCAGACAATGGGGTGATTTTTTCCCCGCGGGTCTGGACACGGGTAACTCGTACCCGCGTTCGGAGCGTCGGGCAGTGGGCCAGTTTACGGTCTAGCCTTGGGGCTAGCGTCCCAGGCGTTTTGAATCCTATTTTAAGGATAGTCTCTGGGCTTTTGAATACCTCGGTAGGTTGACGAACCAGGCCCCAACGGAGTGTTTTTTCTTTCATCCTGTCCATCCTCCTCCTTCTCCACCTCCCCCTCCTCCTCCTCCTTCTCCTGTGGTTGGTGCCTGTGCGGCGTTGAGCATCGTGAGAACTTTTCCTCCTTGTCCTCTTCCTCAACCTCTGCATCCGCCCGCGCATCCCTACTTTCATCGTTTCGCCCTTTTCCCGCATCTCCCTTCTCCCTCGACCTGCACCTCCCCCCCTACTTCCCTCGCCCCCTCCTCCTCCGTACAAGCCCACCCCCTCCTTTTCCTCCTCGCTTCCCCCCTCCCCCCTCTCAGCTTCTGTGGCCCTCCTCCCGCCCGCGGCGCGCCCGACGGCGCAGGGTGGGGGCAGCTGGCTGGGCTGCGGCGCCTGAGCTTCTGCAACACGCGGCTGCGCGAGCTGCCGGACGAGGCCGGAACTCCCGGAGACCGAGGGGTTAGACGGTTTTCCGCCTTCCTCTCGCAAGCCGAAAATGACACCCAAGGGGCTGAGGAGGAGGAGGAGGAGGAGGAGGAGGAGGAGGAGGAGGAGGAGGAGGGAGAGGCAGGAGGAGCAGGAGGGGGGGGGAGGAGGAGGAGGAGGAGGAGGAGGAGGAGGAGGAGGAGGAGGAGGAGGAGGAGGAACAGGAGGAGGAGGAGGGGAACAGGACGAGGGCGCGGGCGCGGAGTGGGGAGCGAGCCGTCCCTGGCATGACCGCCCTGGGCGAATTTTCTGCCTCCACGCCTCACCTCCGACCACCGCGGGGGTGAGGCAGGCTTGCCGAACGGGCGCCGCGAGCGGGGATGAGATCTTGGGGGGGCGGCCCCCGCTCGAGCGAGAGCCTCGGTGGCCTCGAACGCGTCAGCCTCGAGGTCCCGGCACCCCGCCCGCGAGGGACTCCCGCGGGTGTCTCGGGGGCGACGAAGTGGGGGGTGATGACTAGGGGGGATGGATATCATGGCGGGCGCCATGAGATCTCCCCTGATCTCGTGGCGCCTCTTCTTTATTCAGTACGTCCCCGGCCCCCCCTGGGCCGCGCACGTGCCGCTGGGCATGATCTGCACCCCCCCTCTTGGACGCCCCAGAGTGCCGTCGACGGGGGTTGGGGATGTCATGTGGTGGTCATTATTATTGGAGGTCTTTTCGGCTGCGCCGAAACCTTGAAATCGGGGCGTTGCGATTTTTTCACACGGGGCGGCTTCCCCGATTTCGGGCCTGGGGTCCATCACAGATCAATCCGGCACGACAAATGCCATAGAAAAATGAGGTCGAGGGTTCCGGTCGTGACTTTTCGCGATGTTGCATTTTTCGCATCATCGGATCTCAGGGAAGGGCATTCTCGGAGGGTTGGTTCGGTGGGATCGAAAGGGCATGGAATGAATTGGGACGAAAATCGACACTATATCTTGCACATTTTGAGCAGGAGTCGTTGTCAGTGTCGCCGCGGTCGTTGTCCGTGTGGGACAGACTTCTGCCGGTGGCATTCGAGCTCTCGGCGGCCCTCAGCGCCCTACGCTCCACACACCGACAAGCTTCTGTGGACACACACACACACACACATGTTAGACGATTTTCCGAACGTCGATTCTCCCCTTCTCTTGCACACCCGCATCTTCATCGTCATCCTCGTCCTCACCATCATCTTCGTTAGCGTTATTGTGTTGTTCCCCTCATCCCACGTCCAGCCACCTGCGGAGGTGTGGTCATACCCATACTCACGGCCTCGCGGTCTGGACTCCTCGGCCGCGGGCCCAGGGATAGGGGGCGGCGCTCCGCGGATGCCCAACGCGAAACGCATCCGCGGGGTCGCGTATCCGTGAGATCGCGCCTCGTTATGCAGACCGCGGTCTACCACGACGACGACCACGACTACGACAACGACGACGACGACGACGACGATGACGACGACGACGACGACGACGAGGACGACGACGGGAATGTCGACGAGATCAACGACGACCACGACCACGACAACGACAACGACCACGACGATGGCGGTGGCGTCGTTCTGGCGCGCGGGGCGGTCCAGAGGTCTGCCGCCGATATGGATACGTCCGTCGCTCTTGGAGTTCCGTAGCCAGTTTGGCTCAAGTTGATTCAGCCGCAAGCGCTTGCCGAACCGCCCCCTTGGACCCAGACGCCTCCGCAGACGTCGCCCACTGCTCGCGCCATGCTGTCCCGGGCGCTTACCAGCAGGGCCGTTGGGCAGTGCGCCCTCCGTGGCACTGCGACCCCTGCGGCCCGTCGCGCGTTCGCCGCGTCCGTGACGAAGCAGGACAAGCTCAAGGCGCAGCTGATGAAGCAGCTCAGGCAGGCAGAGATCAAGGGCTGGAGCGAGGAGGACATCAAGGCCTACCCGTTCGTGGACCCGATCAACCGCGACCAGGCCTTGGCCGTGATGGACCAGGTGAACCAGCTGCGGCTCGACGTCGAGGAGATCTATTACAACTCGCCAGCAGGGGTCCTGTACCAGCAGGCCCTCGCGCACGAGAAGGGCAGCTGCATAGTGTCCTCGGGGGCGCTGGCGGTACGCAGCGGGGAGAAGACAGGCCGCTCCCCGATGGACAAGCGCGTGGTCGAGGAGGAGGGGTCCAAGAACGACGTCTGGTGGGGCAAGGTCAACATCAAGCTCTCCAAGGAGCACCGCGGCGGCCACTCATTGAGCCGATCTACAGTTGCACGGCTGGCCGGGTCGGATGGCGTTGCGAACGGCCAGCGGGTTGGTCGGCGTCTGGGCGGTTGATCGGTCGATCGCCCGCCGATCGGCGCATCGGCCCGTTGGCGGCGCCCATCGGCCGGCCTGGCGGGAGGGAGAACTCGGGAAGTTAAGTTCAGCATCGGTGCTGATATATCCTTGGTCGACGGCCGTTCCAATTCGGCATAAGCCCGTTTAATCCGGGTTAGATTTGGTTTCCATCTGGGCGAATCCGGCCCAACGGCCAGTCAATGGAGCCTAATAGCCATTCGGAGTTCTCTCGAAGATGTTCCGGAGCTTGCCTTCTATCAACCACACGCAGAGGGGGGTGAGGGGAGGGGGGAGGGCCTCTTAGAAGCAACCCTGCTTCTTAGAAGGCGCGGGCCTTGCAGCCTCCTTCTAAGGAGCCCTCCCTCCTCCCTTCACCCCCTTGTGCGCGCCGCGAATTCTAAGGAGAAGCCAGCACAGATGTCGAAGGTTGAAGTGCGAGGAGGGAGGTGGCGAGGGAGCAAGGTTGGAGGAGGGGAGCCTGGTGGGCGTTCCCTGGTGCACGCTCTCGTACCTCATCCCTTGTCCTCCGCCTCCCTCTCTGTTTTTTTCCTAACAGCGAAGACTGATCAGTTTCTAGTGGGCTCAAACGAGAGCATCTTGACTCCCCAGGGGGGTCTGGGCGGGTGCCGGGAGAAGCCGGGGAACCCGGGGATTCCCCAGGACATTATCCCAGGCCACATGTTAATTGCCCGGAGCCAACAGAACACCATTCCCAGGCCACATTTTGAATGCCTGGAACCAACTGTAGGCCATTTCGTGTTCTTCGCGTTCCCAGAACACCATGCCCAGGCCACATTTTGAATGCCCGAAGCCAACTGTAGGCCACTTCGTGTTTTTCGTCTTCCCAAAACACCATTCCCAGGCCCCATTTTGAATGTCGGGAGCCAACTGTAGGCTACTTCGTGTTCTTCGTGTTCCCAGAACACCATTCCCAGGCCACATTTTGAATGCCCGAAGCCAACTGTGGGCCACTTCGTGTTCTCCGTGTTCCCAGAACCCAAGTCCTGTACCATATTTTGATTGCCCGGACCCAACTGTGGGCCACTTCGTGATCTTCGTGTTCCCAGAACCCAAGTCCTGTGCCATATTTTGAATGCCCGAGCTGAGGCAGGCTGAGGCCGAGGCAGGCTGAGGCCGAGGCAGGCTGAGGCTGAGGCTGAGGCACGCCGAGGCAGGCTGAGGCTGTGGCTGAGGTAGGCTGAGGCTGAGGCAGGCTGAGGCTGAGGCTGACGCAGGCTGAGGCCGAGGCAGGCTGAGGCTGGGGCAGGGGCAGGCTGAGGCTGAGGCAGGCTGAGACTGAGGCTGAGGCAGGCTGAGGCTGAGGCTGAGGCTGATGCAGGCTGAGGCTGAGATGCTGACGCTGAGGCTGAGGCAGGCTGAGGCTGAGGCTGAGGCCGAGGCAGGCTGAGGCTGAGGTAAACCGAGGCAGGCTGAGGCTGAGGCTGAAGCTGAGGCAGGCTGAGGCTGTGGCTGAGGCTGAGGCAAGCTGCGGCTGAGGCAGGCTGAGGCAGGCTGAGGCAGGCTGAGGCTTAGGCAGGCTGAGGCTGAGGCAGGCTGAGGCTGAGGCTGAGGCCGAGGCAGGCTGAGGCTGAGGCCGAGGCAAGCCGAGGCAGGCTGAGGCTGGGGCCCGAGGCTGATGCTGAGGCAGGCTGTGGCTGAGACAGGCTGAGGATGAAGCTGAGACAGGCTGAGGCTGAGGCAGGCTGAGGCTGAGGCCGAGGCAGGCTCAGGCCGAGACAGGCTGAGGCTGAGACTGAGGCTGAGGCTGAGGATGAGGCCGAGGCAGGCCGAAGCTGAGACACGGTGAGGCTGAATGGGGGGGGTGGGGGAAGGCGAAACGGGACGAATTACAACCGACTAGTCCCAATTCCAACCGTTCGGAGCGAATTGCAACCAGAAATGGGACTTATTACAACCATGGGATCTTCATAAGTACTTCTTGCTTCTTCAGAAGTACTTCTTTCTTTCTTCAGAAGTAATATTTCTTTCTTTTTCCCAACCCTCCTTGGTTGGGTATTCGTCTTGAATAGAGCAGTGTGGTCGCGTCCCTTCTCCCGCCTCCCGCCTTTTCCTGTCTTGCCTGCGGGGGGCTGCGATCTGCGAAACTGTCGCCATTTTCGAGGCCTGCTGGGGGGCCCAGCACAGTGCGATCTGCGAAACTGTCGCCATTTTCGAGGCCTGCTGGGGGGCCCAGCACAGTGAGGGCCACGCGCGGATTCAAATTAGACCTCGCCATCCCTGGGGGGCTGCGATCTGCGAAACTGTCGCCATTTTCGAGGCCTGCTGGGGGGCCCAGCACAGTGAGGGCCACGCGCGGATTCAAATTAGACCTCGCCATCCCTGGGGGGCTGCGATCTGCGAAACTGTCGCCATTTTCGAGGCCTGCTGGGGG